TTTTCGTCAGCACGGACAGGGCGTCAGCAGGGACAGGGAAGATGGTCAGAATTGATGGGAAGATGGATGGGGCCAAATACAGGACCATTCTGGAAGAAAACCTGTTTGAGTCTGCAAGAGAACTGATACTGGGACAGAGATTTATCTTCCAACAAGACGATCCAAAACACAAAGCCAAATCTACAATGGAATGGTTCACAAATAAATGTATCCAGGTGTTGGAATGGCCAAGTCAAAGTCCAGACCTGAATCCAATTGAGAATCTGTGGAAAGAGCTGAAGACTGCTGTTCACAAACGCTCTCCATCCAACCTCACTGAGCTCGAGCTGTTTTACAAGAAAGAATGGGCAAGAATTTCAGTCTCTCCATGTGCAAAACTGATAGAGACAAACCCCAAGAGACTTGCAGCTGGAATTGCAGCAAAAGGTAGTGCTACAAAGTATTAACGCAAGGGGGACGAATAATATTGCACGCCACACTTTTCAGTTTTTTATTTGTTAAAAAAGTTTGACACATCCAATAAATTTCATTCCACTTCACGATTGTGTCCCACTTGTTGTTGATTCTTCACAAAATATTTAAATGTTATATCTTTATGTTTGAAGCCTGAAATGTGGCAAAAGGTTGAAAAGTTCAAGGGGGCGGAATACTTTCGCAAGGCACTGTACATCGAAAAGCCATTTAGTAAAGTTTTCTTTCTAAGGAAGCCAACAGACACATTGAATCTTCACTTCATCGCAGTCTTCCATCCTGAGCAAGCACAGAATGGAAAGAAAAAACTCCCTTTTAAAAGGAAGAAACCTCCAGCAGAACCAGCCTCTGGACAAGCGGTCATCTGCTTTGACCGGCTGGGTTTGAGAGGACAGGAAGTAGGAACAGATATACAAGGGCAGATCCAGGTATAGGTCCAGGTGAACCTGAAAGACAAACACACATGTCAAGGATAGAAAAAAATTATTACAGATACAAAACAGGTTGAGCAGAGTAAGTAAAGAAAAACATAGTGAAAAAAAATGTGGTAAGTTTGTCCTCCAGCAGTCTAAGCCTATAGCAGCATAACTAAGGGATAGCTCAGGAAACCCAGCCAACCCTAACTATAGGATTTAGCAAAAAGGAAAGTCAGTCTTAAAACTGGACAATGTGTTGGCTTCATGGACAGAAACTGGAAGTTGGTTCCACAATAGAGGAGCCTGATAACTGAAAACTGCCTCCCATTCTGGTTTTGGAAACTCTAGGAACCACAAGTAAACCTGCAGTCTGAGAGCAAAGTGCTCTGTTATGAAAATATGGAACAACAAGATCTGTAATATAAGATGGAGTTAGGCTGGTGAGAGCTTTGTAGGTTAGAAGTAAGATTGATGCATCTTTGCGCTGAAGGTTGAGTTGTCTGTGTTCTCTTAGCAGTAAATGTCCATGTAAAAATGCTTTTGCCAAAAAGAATACGCTGACTTTAACTGAGCAAATGATCTGACACAACATAAAAACAGAGTAAAAGTCTAAAAGGTTTTAGTGGATAAAGAAAAAATAATAATTTGCCAACTTTTTACACCACCTTTATTTCCACCAGATGACTAATTTTTTCCAATAAAGCACAACACTTTCATTTTATGTCAAATAGAAGTTGTTTCTCATGGTTCATTATTGGACTGTACTTCCATCCATTCATCTATGTTTTTTTTTTTTTTTTTTTACTTATCAGTGGTTGGTTTGTGAAGACGCCAAGTCCAGGAGGAAAACCAAAACATCCTTCTTCCCATGAACACTCTCCAGCTCCTCCTGGTGGATCTCAGGGTGTTCCTTGGCCAGAGAGAATATACTGTTTGTATGATCATTGTATGTCATATGTCATATATGTATATATGTCATTGTTTACTGTTATTGTTGTCTGTACTTTATATGTTCTGTCTGGAACAGGTCTCTCTTGTAAATGAGTCCTCGTGGCTCAATGAGACTAGCCTATATAAATAAAGGTTGAACGAATGATGGTAAATCTAAGTTCTAGGTCGGCCCCACGGTCTTCTTCCAGTGAGACGTGGCTGGAAAACCTCCCGAGGGAGGCACCCAGGAATACAGAGGAGCAGAGGCTCTACTCTGAATTCCTCAGGTGATGGAGCTCCTCACCTTATTTCAAAACCTGATCCTGGCCACCCATCAGAGGAAGCTCATCTCTGTCACTTGGTTTCAGGGTCTCTGTCTTTTGGCCACGATCAATATGTCATGACCATAAGTGAGGGTTGGAATGTGGATGGATCAGTTAATCAAGAGTTTAGCCTTTCAGCTCAATTCCTTCCTCACCATGACAAACCACAGCAACACCCTCATTATTGCAGATGAGGCTCTGGTCCGTTGATCTATACCTCAAGAGCAAGACTCTACACTTGAAGCAAAGACTAACCCTCAACCCAAATTCCACATTTTACCAGTTTGTAACAAACGAAAAAGTGACAAAAGTGCAAACATCTATAAAATAGCATAAGCTAGTTCAAGTTATTTTACATATATTTAACCTTTATTTACACATATAGTCTCACAAGGACTCGTTTTCAAGAGGAACCTGTTTGGGAGCAGATGGTGGGGGGTTAAGAGCCTTGCTCAAGGGCCCAGAGTGGGGCAAATGAGGATGAAGGCAGGTGTGGGTGTTTCACCTTTTCTACTCACATTTTGATGTTGTCAGGCCGGAGAGTTGAACCAGCGACCGTCCGATCACAGGCCCACCTTTTCTAATCTCTGCGCCACCTCTCCCCAAGTTGATAATCTTAGTGAATTTTAATTCTGTAGGTGATATTGTGATTACTCAAAACAACCACACAGACAGGAAAAACAGCTCAAATAGTCTAAGCAGATATTTTAACAAATGAACTACAAGGGGTTCGTTTTAGTTTAGGAAAATGTGCTTTTATTTCTTAATTAGTTGCTTTGTTTTCAGGCTGTTTGCACAGAGAATCCACTGATCTACCACAAACTTCTCCTTTCCTCGTGTCTTCTTCTTGGGCACGGTATTCCCAATTCACTCATTTCCCATCTCAGGCCTGAGTCGTACTCTCTGATCACACACACACACACACACACACACACTCAGGCTCACAGCCAAATGGCTGTTCATTAAAGACAGGGACCTGAGGGGAAGCAATCGTCTGAGAGACGGAAATTGCGTGTCACATTAGATTAGTGGTGTAAAGCCTCTGGATTGGCTCCGGGGAATAAGGAATTATTTCAATTACATTATTTCAAAAAGTCTTTAAGCAATACCAATACCGATAAAAACAAATTAAGAGTGATTTGGGCTGATTTGTGGCGCTCTGAGCTGTGCTTTCTGACAATCTGTTGGAAATCAGATATGAATAATGTAGATATTACACCCTGTAATGTGTCGAACTTGAAAGCAGATTATGCGTGACAAATAATGCCATTGGTTTGCATTGTGGCTCATCAAAAGGGAATATTCCCAGGTGTCAATCATGCAGGCAAAGGGGGAACTGTACAGCTCTGTGAGCCACTCACCTGCCAGTCAAACCAGCAGAGGAGTAAAGTTAAAATTTTAAAACCTTTTTTTAATGCAACCTGTTAAGATAAAAAAAAAGTTCAAACAGTTGAGTTTCATTCTAAAACATAATTTTATGTTAAAAAAAAAAAAAAAAGATCCCCTCTTCCAAAAACTTTTGGTTGCTGATGTTTCACCTTAAGCCTGGACAAGTGCATGTGTCCCATCGGGAGGCAGGGCTCGGGGGGTGGGGGGTTACAGAGGGCAGGGTGAGGAGAAGAGAGAGAGAGAGAGGGGTGGGGGGAGATTGTCACACGGAGCGCAAAGACCAACAGAGGCAGAGCGACCCGCAGCCAGTCCACTCACCGGCTCCATCATCATCATCATCCCGCTCAGACGCGAACCTGAACGCAACACGGAAACACATCTGCAGGAGGGAACCGCTGCCCGTGAGCACTTCTGTTTTTCTTCTTCTTCTTCTTTTTCTGCGAAGCTGGCGGAAAGAGCCGCGCTCCTGAAATAAAGTTGTAAGAAAAAGCGGAGTTGGAGACAAATCCCGTTTTGAGAACTTCTTCACGGTGAGTTCACTGATGGCTCCGGTGATTACAGCTTCATTTGCTTTAATTGGTTTAATTGGTTGTTTGATTGCCACGAAGTTTGCCGGCTGGAAGGATTGTTTTTTTTTTTTTTTTTTTTTTTTTTTAAACGAATTGTCGCTGCTGAAACAAAAGTGGTTTTGAAAGTCGTAGTTTCACTGCAGCGCACTTTTATTCTTTGTAAAGTCTGTTTTGTCTTTAACGCTCAAACTTTCCTTATGATATTAATAAAATTGATTCATTTTAGGATGACAACAAAAGAACTGAATTGAACAAAAGCATTTGTTCTTAAAAGTTCAGATCCAATTCTTCTTTTCAGAAATTTAAATCAACTTCTAAAGCAGAGTTCTGTAAATGTTTCCTCCTTGGATAATGAGGCATGTTTTATTGTATGATTTTAATAATTGTTAATGAACTTGTTTTGAATAAAGCTTTGTTATTACAAATAAACAATTCTAATATACAAGCAGTGGAAAACGATAACTAAGGAAAAACAATATATTTATTTTTTTCAATTGTACATGCTGTTAAGTTAACTATTGCTTGCTCTGCTATGTGTGTGTTTTATTGGGATTTTATTCTGTCGTAATTATTTACAGGCTCAGAATAAACCTCCTCCAGACTCTTTCTTGTTGAATTTTGCCCAAAGCTCTGATTGTAAAAATGCCTCCAGATTTGCTTTTGGTTCATTTTATTTCATGTGATCTTAGTGTGTGCATTTCTGTGGGAGTTTATTGTGAAATTAACAAACTAAAACTGTTTAAAAAATTTTTTTAGGCAGAAATCAAACACAAATTAGATTAAATACTAAATTTGGAATTATTATTATTATTGTTTTTTTTTTAGAGGATCTATTAAATACTCTGTAATTTAATGCTCCATGTGTCCTTGTTTAATCTTCAGAACCACCAACCGGGAGGTGAATGGACCTCCACCGCCCCTTCAAGATGGACAGTCCCTCCTACCTGCCAGCTCCACTGGCCTCCCCAGCCCTAATGGTGCTAGCTTCCACTGCTGAAGCTGGCCGAGATGCTTCTGTCCCCTGCCAGGCCCCCAGACCCTTCGGTGTCCCCATCTCTGTAGAAAAAGACCTCCACCTACCTTTCCCTTCAGCCTCCTACACCTTTACCTCCCTGTACCAGCGGCAGGCCCCTATGTCAGGCACTTTCCCGTCCCGAGACTTTCCGACCTCCCTGCTCCATCTCCACCCTCAGTTCACCCCACCGAACCTGGACTGCCCGACTCTGGGCATGCTTAACCACAGCGGGGTGGGCGCCTTCCGGCCTTTCGCTTCCCCACAAGATGAGAGGGAACCTGGAGGTTACCAGTCAGCCTTCACTCCCGCCAAGAGGCTGAAGAGCTGCTTTCCTGACATGGAGGGGAAGGAATTTGACTTTGGTTCCTTGAAGGCCGGTGAGGAGACAGGGAGAAAGTTGTTCTCCATGTCTGGCCTGCTGTCTGATGGAGAGGCTTCGTCGAGCCCAGAGGAGCGTAAAGAGCACAGTGAGTACATAATCACCGTACAGAGAAGAAAACATTATTCTTTATGTATAAAAAGCTAGTCTAAACCTCTAGGGGCACTCACCTCACATCTTGAAGGCAGAGAATAGTGGTGGGTATATTCCTCAACATCATGCTCCCTCTGACCTGACATGATGATAACATATCCTGCACAGCTGCACCCACCAACACATTTCCCCCCCTGTTCACTCTACCGTCTAGTTAGGCAAAGTGTTTACAGCGCCTGGCTGTGGCTCACTTTGACACAAATAAATTGAATAGTGGCACTCATTCAGTTTAGTGATCATTAGCCACATATGACCATTAGGCCCATTGGAAGTCAGGCTTTTCTCAGTGGCGGAGGAACACAAATACAACGGAGTAGGGTTGACACGGGAGGAGTGAGAGTAGGAACGGATGACACCCTGTCAGAGATAACGAGGTGGCAGAGATAGAGAGGAAAGGGATGGAGGAGGATACAGAAAAGGAGAGAAAGAGACGCGGCGGAGCGCTCCAGCCCGAGCTTCCCTCAGCGGCGACAACTCTCAGCTCAATATGTCCGCCCACACCAGCCGTCTGATTTGTTGACAAATGAGTGGGAGAGGTGTCAGTCAGCCACGGCGCACAGGGAGAGAGACGCTCCTCATTACTCCCGGGGATAATTGCCCAACGACGCGGGGGCCTCAACACTCGCCTCACAGGGAGACGGGAGGGAGTGAGTCAAGGAGGCAATGCTAGGCATGATGGGAAATCAAACCTCCTCAGCAGCGGTCGCCAAGAGAAGCGCCTGACAGATGAAAGGGACCAGAGGAGGAAGACAGAAGGAGAGGAGAGCGAGCACCCAAAGGCTCAGCAGATCAGAGGGGGACACCATCGAAAATAATGACAATGAGAAGGGGGTGGGAGGAGGTGGGGGTGATGTGAAGGCAAGGAGATGGGGAGATGCTGATGTGCTCTCATACACACCACCTAAAGAAAACTTTCATCCCACACATAAAGGGCGGGAGCAGGGACGAGTTGTCTTAAGAAAAGTTTGGATTGTACGCTGTGTGTGTCGCTTTGCATATGTGCATGTCTTTGTTGAAACTTGCTGAATTTGTCGCCAGTTGGTGGCTGAGTGACAGGGCCAGGGAGGCGGAGTGGCAGGGAGGAATCTCAATATGGAATTTTAATAAGGACGGGGAAAGAAGCGATGCCAGCCGGCACGCCGTGGTGTGAGAGGTGTGTCTGAAAACAGCTCTGTGCTCTCGAGCATGCATGCTCACCACCTGATTTCGGGGGAATCTCATTTGGAGAATGTTGACAAGGACAAAAGACAGACTGGAAGAGAACATGGAGAACATTGCTCCTTTTTCCAAAAGAATAAAAAAAAAAGGGGGAAAATGGATTCAAGCACATTGGAAGCTGCTTTTCCAGCTTTATCCAATTAGATTGGAGCTCAGGCAAACTAAGAGCTTTAATGCAATTGAGCTCCCAGCACTTTTCTAAGTCTGACATACACTTGTTCCTCTTGACTGGGTAACAGACACTCACTTCAGGACCAAAAGTCTTAAATGTTAAGCCCAAAATCTCCTTTGAGTGTGAGAGTTTCTGCTGCTGCAACAATGGCAGAGCAGATCTGAGCTTAACTGCAAACTGGACCATAAAATCTTACTTTTATTTCTTTTGAAGTTTCTTCATTTGAGAAATTACCGAGGGAAGCAGAGCATTCCAGCGGGGATCGCTCACGGGACAAAACATCTAAATACTTAAAACGGATCAAATGCTGCAAGTAAATAGCATGGCATTCTCTTTACGCACTTCTAAAACGAAAAATTCAACTCTTGCACGACAACGTGTTGCTTTTTCAGAGATGACACGTTAGAGCTTGACTTTTCTACATTTACTGCAGTTTTTTTTTGTTACTAATCTGCAGAGGACTTGTAGTTGTCTCCAGTTTTGCACACAGGTGACCATGAGCTGTGCTTCCTCTCATACTTCCCTGTCAGTCCAAACAACAAGCGAGTACATGACACCCTCCCTGTGTGTGTGTGTCATCTTCGGTGGCTGTTTCCTTCTGTCCATTCTGTGTCTTTGATCCCTCCCAGACTCTCCTCTGTTTTATCAGCGGAGGTCTGAGGCGCTCGGTGCGCTCTGACAGCTGTTCAAACAGCCACGCTCACTTTCAAAGGGCAGATGTCTTCACTGGAGCGATTCATGCTTATTTTCCTCAGGGAGATGCTTTCCGCCGCGGGCCTGAGCTGGAATGAAAATGGTTTCTTAACAGAAACACGAGTTGGGGAAACTGAAGGAGTTGAGTGGCAACAATACGCCATGACCACAAGCCGTGTGTGTGCGTGCATCGGCAACTCACACATGAAGGCAAAGCTAGGAGAGTTACAATAACTGGAGCCAGATGTGTGAGAGCACTTCTGCTGCACTGCAAGACTTACAGGTCCAGTTTGTGGATAACACAAAGAAATCCAAAGGGGGAAAAACTAATGGGTAGACTGTGTAGTTTATATTATATACAACTAATCGGTGATTAAACTTGTTTATTTGCAGCCTTTTCTGCAGAAAAGAACCAGACTGATCCGCACTTTTTTGTGTGTATATTATACTGCTTGCACACATCACAACCAAAAAACAACTTATCAGCATTTTTTTAAAGTCAAAACTCTCCCATGAATCAATTTGTGCATCATGAGTTTGAATCAGACACAAACTTCCAAAGTCTTTTCCGGCTGGGTTGACAAGGCTCCGGTAGACTACAAGTTTCACCTGCATGAAAAGAAATCCTCAATAGCAGTGAAACAATTATGCACAACACACACTGTGAATTTACCACCAGATTTGCTCTGTGTGCAAGTGTCCTCCACGGTGGGTTATTCATGGCTTGTTAGAGCGGTAGCAGCATGAACTGGAATCAATTTGATAAAGATTCATCTTAAGGATTATCTCCCTGCAGTTTGATCAGTTTCAGACAAGGCTTACAGGTGTTTGAAAACTTTAGAGAATTTAAAGATGCCTATTTATAAGGCAGACTATTAAAGAAATAGCCCATAGGAGCAAGTGACCCCTCCTCTTCAGGTGTTGTAGTCTCTTGACTGTGACTGCTGATTTGTTAACAGGGAGGGTCTGTGTTTTGTGTACAGCTGCCGTTGACTGCTGGTATCGACTGGCGCTCCTTGCTGAAAGACACACTGTTTACATCCCCCTAGCAGACCACAAGAGATCAATAGCAACCACTCGATGCTCATGCATACACATATAGTATCTGCTGCCTGCTATTATTATCAGCATGCAAGCTCCTCATCAGGTGGACGTGCATTTGTTCTCCATGCATCAACAGTGGCATTTAGCATATGCAAATGCCAGGTTTGTTAAGCTTTCTTTTGGTTTGAAAGTTTATGGGAATAAACAAGGAAAGGCTTTTAGAAATGTGAGAGAAAAACAGTGTAATGAGCATGATGGGGATACTAATTTTCATTGGAAAGCAGATGTTTCTTCTGCTGTTAAAGCTGCAACCAGGTTTTTCTGTGACCACACTGGTTGATTTAAGCACTCCGGGAGGAAGCATTACAATATTAATGGTAGTTGTTTTTTGATGTGAAAGCATGCCGGGGTTGACTGTTCTGCCTCCTGTTGTGATGGTTGTTTGTTCTTCTAATGTTCTCCCAAGTAAAAGAGGCTTTCATCTTGGCAGGAGAGGAAAGTCTTCTCAGCTCTTTTTTTTTTTTTTTTTGGTAACCTTCCTCCCACTACCTTCCCAAGGCTGGAAACGGGGAATGAAGAAGGTTTGTCTATGCATTCAGATTTACAGATTGTGCTCCTACAGGATTTGTGAAAGCATCAGGAGTGCAGTGTGTGTTTCTTCCACCCATATTTAAAATGTGCATGGTGCCAAGTTGTGAACCACACTGCTTGTCAGAGACAGAAAGTATTTTCACACTAACAAGGGGAAATACATGCATGTGTGGGACAGGTGGTGTTTGGGAAAGACGAGCCTTCTTTTGGGGTGACCTTCTGCACCTATTAGATGGTCTGCAGAATTTTCTGACTATAAACGAGTCATCCGCTTCATGTAGATTCTGCAGCTGCCACCATTTCTTGCTGTGATCAGTCCTTGCGAGCGGCGTTGCTTCTGTGTGCACAGAGACCGTTAGGGCTCGAGTATGCTGCCAAAACAAAAGCAGGCTGACGGAAAAAACAACAAGGAAGAGGGTTATAATGAGTGCAAGGCCCAGGGGTTGTTAAAACAACAGCCGCGTTTCAACAGAGGTCATCATACCTTCTGTCCGTCTTTTTCTGCATTTCTCTGTGCACCTGATCGACCTGCATCAGCTGCCTCTGATCTCACATCAAAGGCTTGGTCTGTGTGCGCGCATGGAAAAGGCTTTAGGTAAAGGCAGTTTTTTTTTTCTTAGATTGCTTATTTTCAAGAAGTAGTGCGCGCACACACACTCACACACACAGACAAACTCACATCCTCCGCCTCGTCCCCGGAGCCTAACAAATCAGTCAGGCAGATAGAGAGGGCAGGAAGGCCACATTCTGGGGTTAAACACATGCCGCTGAGGAGCAGCGCAGACAGACAGCGAGACCACACCAATTCTGCATGCTTGGATAGAAGCCAGGGACCTACATACCTAATATACAATATACAGTATGTGCGTAACATTTTGTATATGCTTAGTGTCACACATAGACCTCATTACAGCATGTCAGCTGTGCTTGTTGCGAGTCTCCCAGCTGTGGTGGAGCTTAACAAAAGCCAATATGCCAAAAGCATGCCAGGCGTGATAGTTTTGCTTCCTAAATGCGTGACTTTCTGACATTATTTAGTGGCTTGATAAGCAGGATTGACAGCCCCTGTTAATCGCCAAATGTGCCATTTTTGTCATGTTTTTATAGAAGCAGTATAAAAGGAAGACGGGGAGAGTTGCAAAGTGACAACAGTTTACATTATTTGAGCGCCACAAATAGCTGTTATTATGAATCTTGACCTGACTTTCATTTTTTTT